GTGAAGACTTCAGTTGCTGACAGTCTGTTAGAAAAATGGCCACAGTATAATTCAACCCCTGTAGCTTCTAAGAATTTAGATGGGGCAGGAAAGAACATCTGTCTCTTTTCCAGAAGCCTTAGCAGAAGTCTCTGGGTGTCCCATTGGCTCTCAAGAATCATATGTCTTACCCTGCGCCAATCCTGTGTTGAGGGCTGTGAGGCTGGGATTGGCCAGTTCCTGCTACATGCCCCCCTGGAGCCTGGGGAGTTAGCTCTTCAGGAACCACATGGACTAAAAGTTGGGGAGAAATGAATTCTCAAAGGGAAATTATGGGCTTTTATTGCTAGGAAAGGGAGGGGACTGGGTGGCAAAACAGCTAACGTCCATTACGTGGTATTAGTCTCTTTTTATAGGTCAGCAACAGATCAGAAGAGTTAAAGGATTTGGATTAGAGTCTTGGTTTCTGATTTCAGAAGCTTTCTTGCCTGTGAAGTCACATCCTTCAAGTAAACGTTCCCTGCAGGGATAGGAGTTTGCAGGAAGTTACAGTGTTTTATATTCTTTTGGTGAAAGTTTGGATAATTTTTAACAGGAAGAGAAAGAATCAAGGCAGATGGGGATGAACCTCAGCAGTGGTTGGCTGTTGTCTTCCTATATCAGTGTGACTGAACTCCAGTGACTTCCATTCCCTCTCTGTCCCCATGGGAGAGATTCTTAGAGACCCAGCTTAGTCAGTGTCTGCCCTGGGATCCTGTTGTTATTTCCAGGCAGCAGGACAAACAAATGTACTTATTTGTCCAATGGCTATTGCATAATCACTATAAGTTTACACCAAAGGCCCTAGTATTAGAAAATCTTCCATACAAAACTTCCAGAAAATAAGCGAAAATAATTCCTCTGTCAAGTAGGTAAAGTGGTTACATAGAGTGATATTTGGTTTCTATATAATATTGTTATTTTAGATAAATAAAGTGATTTCAAGTTAGTATGAACTGAAAATTTAAAATTTTAGGGAGATAATAGCTAACATTTATTGGCTTATTATATGCCAGGCATTTTTTAAAGTGCTTTATATGCATTATTTCACTTAATCCTTAAATTAACTCTAGGAGGGGGGGTGTTATCTTCTTATCCACTTGGAGGTGAGCAAGTTGAGATAGTCCATGTTAAGTCACTTGCCTGGGACCATTCAGGGCTGGTGATGTGGCTGGTGCACTCTGAACACAGGTCCTCTGACTCCTTGTGTGTGCCCTGGGACGCTGTGCTACGCTCTTCCCCAGGGAGAGATTTTAGCTCGTGCCTTACTGGCTTTACTTTTCTTACTGCTTCTTTATGTGCTTGGCCAGATGTCGGTTGGGAGTTTTACATGGAAGATTTGCTAATCCTAGTGTCTTTGATATCCAGGGATTTTTATATCTAGTATTGTCGTTATCTGACAAGCAAACATTGTCTGTATCAGTAGTTCTCAACTGGGGCCTATCCCTGCTTCCCCACCCCATGCCAGAGCACTTACTAATGCCTGGAAACATTTTTCGGTTGTCACAAGTCAGGGGTTGTGCTATTGGCTTCTCATAGGTAGAGACAGGACTCTGCTAAACATCCTACAATACATAGGACAGCCCCACAGCAAAAAATTATCCAGCCCAAAGGGTCAATCCTGTTGCTATTTTATATCTGGTCCACATCATAATTTGGTAATTATTTTGTAATAATCATTCCTATGTCTAATGGCCTGAGTCACTACAGTAATACAGAAATCATTTTTGATTTTTTTTTTTTTTTTTTTTTGAGACGGAGCCTCAAGCTATCCTCCT